GTCTAACATCAGCAATTTTCCAACTCTTAGGAAAGTATCCCCTGTCTAGACAATCATTGAATAATGTCAACAGTCTCTGTTCAATATAGGGGATACTGTTCCTGAGGATTGCTGCGTCAATGGAGTCTAACCCAGGTGCACGTCCAGTCTTTTGCCTATCCACAGCAGCACGTAGATCCCATATGTCCCACGGTGGGCACAAGTCCGTACCAGGTGGGCATACCGTAGTGCGTCTTATAAATATTTCCTCTTCATTATCCTGGGACGAATCATCTCTGGGGTAGGTCTCAGCTAGGAACATCTTTGCAGTCTCTTCCAGAGTGGTTGCCTGGGAACATCCGCGCCTCAAAGCTGCAATCACTTGCTGTGGAGCAAACTTACCAAGGGCCACTCTGTAAGGTACACCCCAGGGATTCTTAGATGACTCTTGAACAATGAATTCGTCCCAAGACTTCCGCTTTCTTAACCGCACCTCGTTTCGGTATGCCCTGGCTTTAGACTTGTACTCATCACGAAGTGTAATGCGCCTCTCTTCGCAAGTACACTTCTGGTATGAACGCCGTGCCTTGTAGAGTTCTCTCTTCATAGTGGTTAAGGCAGGCGTCCACCATGGGACAGGTCGAGCTCTCGCCTTCCGGTGCTGAAGGGATTCTTCAGCGGTATCGCGGATGACATCAGTGATCCTGGATACTCGGTAATCCAGATCATCTGTTTGCTCCGTTTCCGCCTCATCCCAGTCTTCGTCGACCAGTTTTCCCTCCAGCAATGACCGGAAGGCACTCCAATTTCCTTTTCGAGTAAGGTAACCTTTTTCTATTCCGAGGGAAACTTCTGTATTTTCCGTCAGCCTAAAGGCTATCGCTTGGTGGTCGGAACTCGTTTCAGATCGGAGGACCCAATCGATAATGCGGTTTGCCAGCACCGGTGATACCAAGGTAACATCAATCCAGCTCTGCCCCCTAGCGCTAGAGAACGTCGGGGTAGCAGAGGGATCGTTCATAACCACTAGATGGTTTCGGGCAATAAATTCACCGAGCTTAGCGCCCCTTCTATTAGTTCGATTAGATCCCCAGACCGTGTTCCAGGAGTTGGTATCTGAGCATATGATCACGTTCCTGGTGCAAGCCGTGATCATCTCCATGGCGGATATGTCTTCGTCAATATCGCCCCCGTCCGGTAAATATGATGAGACCAGCGTAAAGGCAACATGGTTCCATCTGATATGACAAGCAACACAATCCGCCATGGTAAACTGCCTCAGATCCATCACATCGAGGTTGGGGTTGTTAACCACAATAGCAGCCCTGGGCCTCCTCTCTCCACTGCTCAAGGCTATAACCCTCGATGTGAGACCAAACCCCGTGACCTTGTTTCCCCAGCAACTCGGTTCCTGGACTGCCATGATGTCGTAGCTTTGTGAGAGGGAGCGTAGCTCTTCCGCAACTAGACGCCGGCGGCCCATATTGAGCTGAAGGATGGAGATCTTATTCATAAGAAGTCCTCATCGCCATTTTTTGTGACCAATTTAAATGCACAGGACAATCACGACTGCCCGCCTTATGCTTAGTGTGTCTCGGATGGGCCTTTGCCATCACACAGTTGATGCATGTCGGCCCTGCCTGAGCTAGTTTTTTGGGGCACTCCTTGAGAAAATGACCAGTACCTGCACACCAGATGCAGACCAGTGCATCTGTTGGACATGTGGCCTTAGAGTGCCCGTAGTCCTGACACTTGGTACAACGGGGGGCGTCGAGGTTATCTTCAAAGGTCATTGACCACCATCCTCCATTCAAGCTTGCCATGTCTAATAGATGGAATCGTAGGGTTGGGTGCACTTCCAGCACCCAGTTTTTAGTTATTCCATTCCTTGCTGTAGATGAGAAAACAGGCCGAAGTCCATCGTTCACGAGCGAAGCTGGGATCGATTTATCAATTAGCTTTGCCCGTAAAAGCGTAATTAATGCCTCCGCAGTCCACGAATTGGGCACACCTTTAATTTCAAGCCTAGGTCGTTTCTTAAGTGCAAGCTTGGCCTCTAGTCCTACTTCTCGTAGACCCTGCCACCCAATAACTTTCGCCGCTTGGGAGCTATCTTCCATCCGAACTAAGACCGAGCCTCCCTTAGTAGCACGTACTATGGAGGCATTAACTCCTATTTCAGTAGGAGATGGCAGCCCACTGATGATTTCCACGGGACTTTTACCGGGCCCACTAATTGTGACGTAGGTGGGTTTAGAGTTAGATATCTCTGCCGGCTTCAATGGCAGAGATTTTACAATATCTGCCATTGTCCGTGGCTTACTTTGTAATTGGGCTGAATCTTCAGGAGAGACATGACTGGTCGGCTCAATCAGGTTATTTAAATTACTAGCTGCCTTGTTAGCTGCTTTGGTCCTCCTGCGGCTTCTTTTACTGACTACGACTTTGTAGGGTTCAGTAGCCGCTGAGGGTCCAGCCGGGCTTGCTTCTCTGATATCTGCTTGCGCTTCACTTGAGTGACCGGCTTTGGCTAAGATTTGTGGTTGTGGTTCCACTCGAGCTGCCGTTAGTCCCTCAATAATTTTGGGCACCGTTTTTTCTATTACAAGTCGAGCAATCATCTCATGAATACTAGGAGTCTTAAGTGACTCATGAACCGCTTTTTGGATGAGCTCAGAAACGTCTTCATTTGTGTGTGCCTTTTTACTTTTGTCGTCTAGGGTTTCAATTATATCTATCAAGGTTAGAATTTTTCTATTTATATAATTTTGTACCTTGATATTCAACCCATTATCTGCCCGTTGAACATAAACCCTAAGATTCTCCTGGATTTGTAAGGCCGATTGTAGTAAACTTTTAGCTGCAGCCTCCTCCGAGTTTGCCTCCAAATCAAGAGAACCCTTTCTTGCCCGTTTGGCATTTCGCTTGGAAACCTTTTGGGAACTCTCCTCTTCCATATCAATAACAATTGGGTCAACCATACTGTAAGAAACTAGTAAACACTACAAATGATTTCAGTTTATAGTACACTACAGTTTAGAGGTTAACTAACTACGTTTATTAAATGAAAGTTACCTTTCTATTTATGTCCAATGAAACTTGTATACAAGTTCTCTGTTATTAGTTTTAGCTCTCGTAGGAACGATTAAAGTCCAGAAAGTCTTCAACTACGAGAAGATTACGAACTCGTAGTTCCACTTAACCTTACTTAAAACTAAAAACTTATTTACAAAAGAAAACTCAAAAAAAAAGAACAAGAAAACATAATGAACAGTAAATTGGAAAACACTAGAACACGAACAATAACAAAATAAGTATATATACACCAGTCACAAGTCTAAACACAATACTTTGGAGAACCAATACGTTATCACCAATCACTATCACAATAACCTATATCTTTTATTTTTGACTGATCACCCCAACTATCCTTCTCTTCATTATTCACTACAGTCAACCATCAACCCACATTTCTCATTCAATAAATCCCACCAAATTACCTTTACTCTTCGTTGTAAACCAATGTACCAACTTCCTGTATTACAGTTTCATTTAACAATGCTCCACTGATACCTGTTGAGCAAATCCGCTACCTAGAACTCCATCTGCACTAACAACTAATTTGGAATCCTCATACCAGACTGAAACGACAAGAATTCGACGTTTCCGATTACTTCAGCACTTACTAAACAAATGCTCTAAACTTCCAATAAATTACAAAAGACTCATATACATGACTATAATAAGGCCTATTTGGACTTACGGAGTTGAGCTATAGGGCTCCACTAAACCATCGAGTTCCTCTCGTATCCAATCCTTACAATCTAAAATCCTTTGCAAAATCCTCAATGCACCCTACTTTGCTAAAAATAAAACCATCCGTAATGACCTTAATGTTTCTTATGTTTCAGATCTGGCTCAATCCAGATACCTATTCTTCCATAATAAACTTCAGAATCTTCCCAACCCTCTCGTTTCTGACCTTGCTTCCTCTTCAATTCCTTATAACCCCCCGAGGCGTCTGAAAAGAAGATGTCCCCGTGATCTCTTAATCTAGACATATCATTAGAGTGCTACCGATTGGGTAGTTACTCAACAAGTGGTTTCACGTCATTATATCCATATGTTTAAATTTGCTAAATGTATTTCTTTAATACAGTTGTAAATATCATTAAAAAATAATAATAAAAAAAAAACTATAAAATATCTGACTGTCAAGTAAGCAAGTAATATTTTTTTTATTTTAATGAAATTTAAAAATGTATTACATTAAAAATACAACAAGTAAATATTACATTGGTAACATGACATGTACAACATGAAGAGAAACTACCCATTGGTAGAACTCAAATTAAAGTTCAATATTAGAAGGTCCCGAGGCCATCTTCTTTTCAGACGCCTCGGAGGGTTATCAGGGATCGAGGAGGAAGCAAGATTTGAAACGAGAGGGTTCGGATGGTTCTGTAGTTTGTTACGGAAGGATAGGTATCTGGATTGGGCCAAATCGGAAACATATGGAACATTAAGGTCTTTATGAATTATTTTGTTTGTGACAAAGTAAGGAGCGTTAAGGATTTTACGAAGGATTTTGGATTGTAAGGATTGGATACGACAGGAATTCGATGGTTTAGTGGAGCCCCAAAGCTCAATTCCGTAAGTCCAAATAGGTCTTATTATTGGCATATATATGATTCGTTTGTAATTGATTAAAAGCTTAGAGCGTTTGTCTAGTAAGTGTTGTAGTAGTCGGAAACGTCGAGCGGTTTCTTGTAGTTTCAGTCTATTACGAGGATTTCATGTGAGTCGTTTGTCGAGGTGGAGTCTTAGGTAACGGATTTGTTCAACTGGAATAAGTGGGGAATTGTTAAAGGATACTGTAGGACAGGAGGTCATAGGTTAAGCAAGTACTATTAAATAGTAAGTCGAGGAATGCAAATTTTTAAGCTTCGAAAGGAATCCTTCATGCGACGCCTTATAAAATATTAATTATTAATAATGAGCCGACAAGTCCTGTTGAGTACATGACCCTGAATAAAGTATCGAGAAGCCTCGAGAGGGCTGCTATTTGCAGGCTGCCTCCTCCCCCCCCCCGGGGCACACAGAGCCGCAGCGATGCCGCCCCGATGACGATCATTCCGCTTACGGTCACGCTCGCTCAACCGTGTCTCCCTTCGGCGGATCAGCCGGTGCCGAGGGTGACAGCCAGTCTGTTTATATCAGCTCCGTCAGGCAGGGCTTGGTCGGTCCACAGGATGTATGGGGACACATGATACATTTCAAAACATACAACGAACAAATAGGTTATAAACATGTCTGTAATAATATATCAAGCATAAATGTGTTGTCAACGAGCACATCGCTTTCAAAGTGGCATATTTTACATTACTCCTATTATAAAAATAGAACAGAATAAATTAAGAATTAGTGTTGTCCAAATGCGAGACCGAGACGAGTCTTGGTCTTGCAAACTCAGTGTTGGTCTTGGTGTTGTGCATAAGTCTCGCAACGGTCTTGCAGTTAGTTATTAGCTGATTACTATAGAGATATTTTTTGTAATTTTTTAGATAGCAGAAGCCTAACTAAGCCCGAATGAAAAATTAGAGGAGTTAAATGCAAAAGTATATTGGTTATACCAATTATTTACATGTTGTAACTAAGATTGTCAAGTATTAGTAACTATTTTGCCTTAGTTTTTATTTAAAAATTCGATCTTTTTTACCAGTCCTGGTCTTGGTCTTGCAAAAGTTATCCGGCCTTGGTTAGGCCGATTTTGGGCAACACTAATTATAATGGAAGGGGAATATCGAAGTAAAAAAATAATCCATTTACTTTCGTCTCATTCGAATAACTCCAGTTTATTTTAAAGTTTGGTTATTATGAGTTGCTCTATTAATGAAGTTGCCTCTAAAAATGAAGAGAGTTCATAATGAATAACTGCAAAATGAAAAGTTAAAAAATCCTATGAATCCAAAGTTTAAGAGACTTAATTTGAATTCTGACCTTTGTAAATTAAATCAGTTTAGGTGTTACAACATCAATTATGTGAAGCAGAGATCAAGTATCATCCACTCTAAGACGATTTCCAGAATGCATATTTTCTTTTTCGGAGCCATGTTGAAGAAGATGGTCACAAGTCTAACTTCCCTTTATATTTTTGGAAGAGAACTTTTAAAGTTATAGCCACTCATGGAGTTATCGTTTTGTGCTGGTCATGTTTGGCATGAATCGCATATATGGTTCGGTACTTTTTTTTTCTTTCTCCCCTTCATCCCTTTTTAGGCTGTACGGTTTTTTTTTTCAGGACCAGGGATAAGGGCGGGGTATTAATACCAGATTAAAAAGACCCCCTCTACTATGCTCAACCCTCCCAATCTTATATAAAATCTTTTTGGTATCACACTGCCGTTTGCTGACTCAATATATTGATTCCAAATTGTCTCCCCTTATGTGCTACGCGAAGTGAACATCTGGTCCCGCTGCACTTCCTGATCAACAATCCTAAACGTATTTACTGCTTAAGTAAAAATATTTTTTTAATTGTTATTCTCATTAACTACAGCTCCCAACTGACTTCTCAATCATACTTGCCATAAAATAGACTCATTTCATTGATTCAACTAAGGTGAAAACAATAAAAAAGCAGCAGTTAATATTTTTTACTTTAACTAACAAATTTGTCTAATCCTGATGTCTTTCCCAAGAAATAATTTATCCTCTGCCATTCTCAAGTTCCGAACCTGATGACCTTGATGCGAAGTGATACAAATTATAAACGAATGCGGACAATCCAGGCTTCATTCTAAAATGTAAACAAACCTCCATAATAAACAATAATCAATCAAAATTAAATTGATTGCTCGGAAGACCTTTTTTCGGAACTAATTGAAGGATTATACCGGTTGAATACAAAGCTATTACCGACAGCTCCCCGAAGAAGGATAATCAAAAAGAGATTAGGGACGATGTTGAGGACCCTCCCATTGTGTCCCCTAGCTCTGGAGGAATGGCCATTGTCCTCCCCGGCCTGTCTAGGTCTAGGCCACTTCCTCATACCTCATCTGAGGGCGTCCATTTCGTATTTATATCCACTAAAACAGTCATTCTCGATATTCTGTCCTGGCAGATTGCATAGTGACAGCCCGTTGTTCTACTGAAACGTACGTGAGAAGAGTCTATTAATGGTACTGGGATCTGGGGATATTTTACTCTACAGGCAACAGTGGTTTTGTAGGTAGTATCGAATCCACTAAGCCTTTTACAATTAACATTATATTTAAATAGATTCCAAATAATGAAAACGGGTCAGAAGAGCTCAGGGTTATTCGATGAATGGCGTCCGGATTGGAATTGGAACAGAGGATGGGAAACACATCCTGTATTGGGAAATACAACAACATGAAAACAGAAACAAGATTTGAATAAAAATTACCCGACACGGAAGACTAAACGTTATTGTCATACTTTCGCAATGATTTCTAAAAAGAAGTACTTATTATTATACAGTTATAAAATATATAAAATTATAGGAAATAGTTTTTAAAGTGGACTGACAAACATGCTTCATTAAGAGATCTGAAAATTTGATATCTTTCATATCCATCACCATATTCAAGTGTCTTGTATATAACTGACATGTTTGATGTTTATTCGAGAAAAAAATATTGTTTTTGTGTAAATGTATTTTGAATAAAAATTTCGTGAAAGTTATATCTTTGATTTGACTCATTCACTAGGAATTTGATATTCCATTCGTTACCCAACGAGCCAACCAAACTATGCGATGAAAATTGCATTTTCTAATCAAATCAAAATAAATAAAAAATAAAAAAATGCTTTTTCCTTACGATTTGATAAAGTAACAATTAGGAGTGCAACATATCAAAGTCAGAAGGATTCAAGACGTATATCCTTTTTCTGTAAAAGGATAGAGAAACAAAGAACACGTTTAAGGTCGCAAGGCAGGGATGATAGTGTTAATTTTCTACGATCAATAAATAAAAATGATAGTTATAGAATAGCACAATTTTTAAACTCAATAAAAGTCGCTATATACCCTCTTATTGTTACTTAAGTTTAACGAGACTACAATTCGGGATTAAACAATTAAATTATTTAAGTTCAAATTTTGTATAACTATTGTATTAGGTTGAACTTAAAATGTTATTTTGTGGCTCGAATCCAGTTTTGATTCCTTTTCCAGTGACAATTTAGTTGGGAAAATAGAACCTGCAAAAACAAAAACCAAAAGAATTACATTTGAGAGTCTGAGAAAAAAAAATTCCACATCGTTTCAGTATACAATCTTAAAATTGATTGATTTTTTTTTTCATTTTTAAAAATTATTTGTTTTTTATATATAGAAATTTAAAAAATATCGTATAACAAAATTGACTAATTAGTCAACTTTAAATAATAAATATTATTACCTCGGTACCCACGACAGATACTTGCGTTGAGTACCCCTGGTTTTGGGGATCGAAATATTTTTAACGCGTATTATTCATATTCTAGTGATATTATGTTATTTTACTTTTTGTGGAAAGCTAAAAGACAATGTGACAATACGGTCACAGTAGAGCAAAGATGGCTGAAAGGGAACTCGCTACGCTCTGTTTACCAACTTCTGCTTTTTTAGAGACAATAGGATGTAAATCTCCTTTTTTTTTTTTCCTTTCATTAAAAAAATTTACATCAATGATGGTTGTTGACATTCGTTCTAAATTACATCCTTCAACGAAGTCTTAAGAGGAATAAAACAATGCATTATTACAATAGACATTAAGTAAGAATATTGTAATTTAGTAGAAGACCGTAGCTTTTTTTTTTAGGATTGTATTGTATAGTATAAACACATAAATGTTTATAATGATTATTTGTTAACAATTAGCATACATATTACCAAACAATATAGATATTGCGATATGATATGTACATAATAATACCTAAACATACTTATAGCTCGACATAATTAGTTATAAATACATTACCGAAACAACTAATAAGCTTATGAAAGTTATATACAGATATGGATAAATAGTTATATATTGGGTTCTTCGGAAAACAATGCAGGATTTTTAGTCTTCCTTTAAAATATCCGTCTATATAATAAACTGTTTACGTTTACTGGATTATTTATTCGTATGAATGTCAACACTTATTAATCTTTTCTAAACGATAACGTTTGTTTATCTCTGTAGCATTTCACTGCTTAGAAATAATTCAGTCTTTATTAAGATGCAGGGGAGCCCCCCTCCCCCCAAGGTACATGGAACCAGAACTTATTCCCTCTTCCCTCCTCCTAAGATATTTTATTGTTCACCTTTTCATAGAAACAGAGCAAACTAAGGTATAATTAGAAAAATCGTAGATCGTATACAATTTCACTTGCTGCGGTCTGTTCCATGCTTCCCTTGGTCCGAAAATTCATAAACCTGAACTTTCGCCATGAAACCCCGTTCTGGACTCTCCTGCTAAGATATCAACTCGCGATTTTCGTTTAAATTTGTTTTATGAGCTTAAACTCGGCCGGGATGGAGCCCAGACGGACAGAAACATCAAGTCAAGGCTCGGGCGAGAGCAGCGTTAATAAGTGCACTGTTCAACGGGGGTTCATCAAATTTCGGGAGGAAGGATTCCACGTTGAAGACAAAGAAGGTCGTGGAAGGACTTCCTCTTTTAAGACGATGATCTGCGAGCTTTGGTGGAAGAAACCCTCAGAACAACTGTTCGAAAGCTTGCAAGGAAACTTAACCTTAGCTACAGTTTGCCACACTCTCCCTACTCTCCGGACCTCACTCCTACGGATTATCATTTTTTAAGACAACTGAACCACTTATTACGTGACCAAAAAATTAATGGAGAAAGGGAATTAGAAAATGCGTTTTTGAAGTTTATCAATTCTAAAGGAAATTCTACTCCAAGAGAAAGAAAAAGTTGCCAACAGGTTGGCAGAAATATATTGATAAAACAGTTGTAAATTTTGCTTTTTAAACAAAATCCTGTATTATTTTGAGGGAAATCCAATAGATTTATCTTGTTTGTTTGGGCTATAAGGTGTAAAACTCTTGGGTCATCAACGCCTGTGAGTAAGTTAATTTTTGTTGGCTGTTGAGTTGAAGCTGAATTACTGCTGAAAATATATTTTAGGAACATATGTACAAGTACAAGCTTTTAAGGAGTTTAATGTCAATCAAGAAGAGAGAATAAAACAAGAATTAAAGACATTCTTCGAAAAGTTGATATTAAGAGCTTAAGGGCTGAAGCTCATCGGTTAAAGTGGAACTGGCCGGGACACATAGCGAGGTTGAATGGATGAAAGATGGTCCAAAGCATGTACCGAGTGGATCCCAAGAGAGAACAAGAGGAAAAAAAGTCGGCCGCATCTGAGGTGGCGGGATGAAATGGTACAGCATGTAGGCGAAAACTGGTGGCTTGTGGCTAGGGATAGATACAGATGGAAACAAGTTATAAACAACATTTAGTTGCTATGTTTTATTTGATTATGTTCTGTTTGTCTTTTATTAAACGCGTGCTTCCAATATTGTTCTGTTTACTGTATGGATTTGTTTTGTTTTTCTTAAGCCTCCCATGGCTATTTTACAAAAAAAAAAAAATGTTATATGTTTTGTTTTATTAAAAAAAAAAAAATGATTGTAATAATTAAAACATATTTTTCTGTGCTGTAGCCAACTGCGTTAAAATCCTCCTTAGGGTGAGGCTTTTGTCAATAATTGATGTCTATAAAGCTTATTAATATTTATAACAACCATAATAAAAAAAATCATTAAAAAGGAATAGAACACGCCAAAAATTGAAAACAACGATACTTGATTTTCTTAACAGGATTTTTTCCTTGTCGATTAGTTAAGCATCCATAACTTCTCTGGATTTTCTTCAAATTCAACGTTAGTACAAGTGTTGGAAAGCTGAATTACTGCGACATTTTTTTAGGGACATTTTCTTAGAGGATTTTTTTTTTATTGAAATATTTATAACTATTGAAAAAAAAACCGTTAAAAAGAAAGGGAACACGTAAAAAATTGAAAAATATTGTACTTTATTTTTTTAGAGGTTTTTTTTTCCCGGCGATAACGATAAGCATGAACTTCTCTAAATTCAACGTCAGTAAAAGTGTTGAAAAGCTGAATTACTGCAGAAAATATTTGTTTAAGGGCATATGTACAAGTATTGAAATATTTATAACTATCAGAAAAAGAAACTCGTTAAGAAGAAAGAAAACACGTGATGTTACAAGGGCTTGCAGGCGTCAGTCCGCTAATTAAGAGGCTGTAAGGAATCACGTCTTGGCATTCATCGCGAAATATTTTTTGACAGTGAGGTAAACGACATCTTGCTCTAGAAATAGTCAAATAAACAACCTCCAAGGTTACGTATGGACGGAATTTTGCACGCAGCGTTACAGTGACACACAGCTACAGCATTTCCTTCAGACTAAATATCTTCTTGATGAACTCCTCGAAATGCTGTAATATCAAGTTTTGAGATCTTATGAATTCAAACCAGATGTTGCTAGATTCTAAATATATGTAAAACAGATGATTACGTTTCATCATGGTTATTACCTGCTCCATAGGAATAACTAATACCGGACGGAGGGCTTTCATTCGTATTTTATTGTAAGCGGTTTCGCTACAAATGATCTTCTTTTTTTTCTTTGTACCTTTTTTTATTTGATCTTTTTGAAGTGAAAACTTCTTTAAGCGCGTTTTGCACTATTTTTTGGAGAGTGAATTAGATTGATCCGTCAGATTTCCAAGTTTTAACGCTCGGGTAAAGTCGGATAGAGTCGACTTACATAAATGTTTTTACATATAGATTAAAATATCTCAGAAACTAAAAATCGTGCCTGCATGATGTAAGCGAGAGATCATTCAGCATTTCATCCTCTCTGTAATAGGCTATAATAATAACAACATTACATAGCATTCCAACTGGAGACTTCCACATAAATATTATACAGTCGTTGGTAAATATTATACAGAAATTTTTTATTAACTTAAAAGATGTCTTATTAAATGAAATTAAACTAATTAATCCTAACTAAAATCATTTAGAATATATGCATTAGTAAAATTACATAAAACTGGCGCTCCACTTAGTATTATCATTAGT